CCATGGAGCTGGATGTTGACAGGGTGTTCAGATGACCAGCTCAGCTTTCTGCCTCCTGTTTGGTAACTACAGCCTGATCTGCATTGGGGGTTTTTTGGATTTTGGTTTGCTGGCTTGTAGCTGTTTTTTGTTGTTTTTGTTTTTTTTTTCCTGGTTGCAGGGAACCTGATTTCCCTGAAAAAAAAATCAGTTTTGCATTATAAAATAAACCAGCATGTCACCTGTCCTTCGGATGTATGTGCTGTCATTTGTTCTTCACATGTGAAAAGCAGTTGCCTGGGACCAGCTGCTGGACCCTACCTGGCACAGGGGCCCTGGGATGGGACAGTGTGGCAGAGACTTACCCATGGAGCAAAGGAAGTGATACCATCAGTAGCACGAGTTTGCTGCTTAGCTGGTGTCTTCCAACAATGCCTGCAGTGAGTCAGGCTGAAGAATAAAGATCCTGTTGATCACAAAAGTTGACATGGTAAGTCCAAGATAGGTAAGAGGATCTCCAAAACCATCTACTTAACAGCTGTCTTGTGAGGGAAGCAGCAAGGAGGTGGGAAGTGGATCTTCTGGTGGGACTTACTTTCCCTCGGCAATAAATGGGTGACGTTTGCTGGTTTAGCACAGAGCTGTACAGGACAGCACAGAGCTATGGATAGACTGGAGTTCTATTGCTAGATATGATCTCACTGGCATCATGGGGCTGTGATGGTGGTATTCCAAAATTAGGGCTCTTCACCTGGTGTGCAGAGAGTGCAGTAACACACAGAGTCAAGATGGCTGTTTACCCATGTCCGGGCAGAGATGATGCCCTGCCCACTCTCCCCTTCATACAGTTCAGACAGTGAAATCTGGGTTTTCCACACACACAGCAGTATGTGTCTGCCATCGTGGCTCTTACACACTCTCATCTCTGTTTCAAGACGTATAGATTGATTTCACTGCATGTGTTCCGTGAGGAAGGGTCTCTGTGGGCAAGGGTCTCTTATGGCAGAAGGTGTTTTAGTATTAGAATGAACCAGGTTCCCTTAAGAACACTGCTGCCTTTGGTTTGCTGGGCTTTTCAAAATTACACCTGCCTTCCTAATCTTTATGAAGTGAGCTACTGGTCTTCTGGTCCAGATGGTTTCTGTATCAGTCTTCTACCTCCTCTAGAGGTGTGAGAGCTTTAAGGAAACACTGGACTTCCTTGTGACATGCAAAATTCAAACCTCTGCATTTTCAGGCTTTCACACACATAGTACAAAATTTTACCTTCTTTATTGCCAAGTAACAATTCTCGCTTCGAGACTTAGACATATTTCATACTTAAAATAAGTCTCACTTAGATCCCTTTAATCTCAAATCTCTGTCCTTGGGAGGCTTCAAGACTTTCTAAAACCACCTCCTTATATTCTTCCCACTGACATACATCTAATTGGAATTTCTTCCTACTTGTTAGGAGGGGGCCTCCTCAAATCTTTCCTGAGTTGTGGATGCCATTATAGGTGAGGATCCTGCTACTACTACTCATATAATTATGTTCTTGATACATCCAAAAATCATACGAGCTACTGCATTCAGTGTTATGAGCATACTCAATTTGAAGTAGGCTCTGTAACCTCCCTGGTAAGGGGAATCACATCCTGTGGGGCATTTTACTCAACCACCCACTTTCCATGCTGTTCTCAGACCACAGCTAGTTTTTGTTGCTCCCTTCAGCTGATCTAGTTGCTTGTCCAGATTTTCAGTGCCATTTGGAATATGACATTTTTCCAGTCCAAATAGCCACAGACTCCATGTTTGTGCAGTAAAAGTAAGTTGAAGTCCAGGTGATTCTGTGAAGCCATTTTGGAAGTAGCTTGCAGCTGGATGTTCAGTTCTTCCATTCCCAAGGTTTCCATCTGTAAACCTGAATGATATAAAAAGAGCCTGGTTTTGAAAGAGGCTGCCTAAGATAGACTCTAGAAACCACTCTATAATAGTTCCAGTACTGCGGTGTGCCATGAATGTGTCTCGTCTTATCCTTCCCCACAGGCTAGTTCCTAGAGGTGCCTTTCTCCACAGACAACACACTGTTAGTAATCCTTGTATCCAGTATTGATTCTGACCTGCAACAGGGAGGTGAGCTGCCCATTTTCCTTCTCTGCTATTCCATATTGTGGGTCCGAAAGCTGGAATCCCTAACTGAGTGCAAGTGATTCCTAAGGATCATTATCTGCTTGGTGACTGGAGTTGACATGTGGTGACCAAGAGTCATTTAAAGGGGTGGTATTGTTTCTACATATACACTCTGGCCTTAAAGTTTGAGCAACTGGGTATATTCTTAAGATTTTGGGATCTGGGCTAGTACAATTACAAATCATAGAATCATAGAATAGTTAGGGTTGGAAAGGACCTTAAGATCATCTAGTTCCAACCTCCCTATCATGGGCAGGGACACCTCATACTAAACCATGCCACCCAAGGCTCTGTCCAACCTGGCCTTGAACACTGCCAGGGATGGAGCATTCACAGCTTCCCTGGGCAACCTGTTCCAGTGCCTCACCACCCTAACAGTAAAGAACTTCTTCCTTATATCCAATCTAAACTTCCCCTCTTTAAGTTTTAACCCATTACCCCTTGTCCTATCACTACAGTCCCTAGCAAAGGTCCCTATCCAGCATCCTTGTAGGCCCCCTTCAGATAATGGAAGGCTGCTATGAGGTCTCCACGCAGCCTATGAGGTGTCCACACAGCCATAAACTGTTATCATCTAGCCTACATGTTCTTAGACACTGAGAATATCAGAGTAACTTCTTATTTATACTAGGTGTTTTTATTTACTCTCTCCTCACCAGGTCTATACATTAAAATATATGTCATAGCAAGCCTTTCTTTTTTCCACAGTGTTGAACAGTATCATGTACTCTTCTTTGGAGCTAACAGAAACATATTCAGCTACAGTAATTTGTAACCCTATACTATGAAGTATAATGGAATACTGCAAACAAATCAGCCATTTTAAACAAGTCTCAGCTACAGCATGGAGCAACAGCTTTGATCCAGTATCACATTTGGTTTTATGTCCTTGAAGTGGTTCAGGGTGTAGCGAGGTTAGAATACATTAGTGTTAGTTGTAAGGGATTGTCCTGGGTTCAGCAGTAGCAGTCATGTTTCTCCTTCTTGGTAGCTGGTCCAGTGCAGTGTTTTGACTTTCGGCCTGGGAACAGAGCTGATAACAAGGATGTTTTGGTTTGGTCAGGGACTTTGTGAGCCTCATGCTCTTCCAGGGAGGAGGGGAAGCTGAGAGGAAGCAGAGACAGGACACCTGACCCAGACTGACCAAAGAGCTATTCCATACCACAGCACGTCATGCCCAGGATGTAACTGGGAGTTAGCCGGAAGGGCTGGGAGACTGCAGGGTTGGAGGAGGTGTCAGTCGGAGCTTGGTCGGGCTTGGGGGGCGAGTTATCGGTTGGCTGGTGCTGAGGTGTTGTATTCTCTTCCCTTGTTATTTCCTTTCTCATTGTTATTATTGGTGGTAGCAGTAGTGATTTGTGTTATACCTTAGTTACTAAACTGTTCTTATCTCAACCCGTGGGAGTTGCATTCTTTTCGATTCTCCTCTCCGTCCCTCTGGGAGTAGGGGGAGGGAAAGAAGGGGGGAAGTGAGTGAACGAGTTACCTGACTGGGTTTAAACCACGACAGGGATCCTCTGGCCTTTCTTCCTCTCCTTCCCAAGTGATGCACCATATTGCTGTTTGGGAATATTGCTATACTCCTGCTCATGGCAGCTTCCAGACTGGAGGGATTTGACAGTCCCATGGGATATTAGTACACTGATCTCCCAATGGTCTAGATATAATTTTTGTTGCTCCTGGGACTTGGGGTTTATGTTACAGCTGTTAGTCGTGTCCTTCCCTGTGCCCCTTCTTTGTTGGCCACTAGTGGTGTCCCCCAGGGCTTGGTACCAGGGGCCAGTGTTGTTTAATATCTTCACTGATCATCTGGAGAGGCAACTGATCTGCTGGAGGATAGGACGTCTCTGCAGAAGGATCTGGACAGGCTGGATCAATGGGCCAAGGCCCATGGGGTGAGGTTCAACAAGGCAAAGTGCCGGGTCCTGCACTTGAGCCACAACAACCCCATGCAATGCTACAGGCTTGGAGAAGCAGCTGGAAAGCCCCTCAAGGTAAAGGATCTGGGGGTGCTGACCAGCAGGTCAAAGGAGGTGATCCTGCCCTCTATCCTGCTCTCATGAGACCCCACTTGAAGCTCTGTGCACAGTTCTGGTTTCCTCAGCATAAGAAAGACATGGAGCTGTTGGAAAGTCCAGAGGGGCCACGAGAATAAGGGGACTGGAACACCTCCTGTATGAAGAGAGGCAGAGAAAGTTGGGGCTGTTCAAAAGAGAAGGCTGCGTGGAGACCTCATAGCAGCCTTCAAGTATCAAGAGGGCCTACAAGGATGCTGGAGAGGCACTCTTCATTAGGGACTATAGTGATAGGACAAGTGGGAATGGGTTTAAACATAAACAGGGGAAGTTCAGGTTATATATAAAGTTCCTTACTGTGAGGGTGCTGAGGCCCTGGCGCAGGTTGCTCAGAGAAGCTGTGCCTGCCCCATCCCTGGCAGTGTTCAAGGCCAGGTTGGATGGGGCTTGGAGCAACCTGGTCTAGTGAAAGGTGTCCCTGCCTGTGGCAGGTAAACGGTTCATCCCTGACAGTGTTCAAGGACAGGCTGGACAGCGCTTTGAGTGACATGATCTAGTGTGTGGTGTCCCTGCCCACAACAGGGGGTTAGGTCTAGATGATCTTAAGGTCCCTTCTAACCCAAACCATTCTGTGACTCTGTGGTACCACTGAGCTTTTTCCACACCCAAGCCACCCAGTCAGCAGCAAAACAGCACAGAAGCAGGGAAGAACCCAACTGAGGAGTTCTGAGGAGCTGTGAGGAACTGATCCCCAGCTGTAAGTCTTCTGTTCACACTTACTAGGATGGCTTTAGCTTGACCAAATCAAACCCAAGCACACAGCTGCATACAGAATGTTTTCAACAAACACAACTTTTTATTTCTGTAGAAAACAAGACACTTTTCAGGAAGGACCAGTTTATCAAACAGCAGTTTGCCTGTTAATATACTTAAATACACTGAGTTACAATTTAGTGGGAAATGCATTAAAAAAAGCTTTCAAGTAGACAAAATAAATGTAGTAAAATTGGACTATCCTTAGCACATGTCTCCCTCAGAGAGAAACATTTCTCCAATGGAATGAACCTCCACCCATCATCTGCCAACAAATCTCTCTACTGGACACAAGCTGCAGGAGCAAGTGAGGGTGGGCAGGGACAGAGGGTTAATATCCAGTGTTGGAGATTAAGAGCAGTCTGAATCATGACAGGCCAGTCCCCATTCCCTCAACTATCAGGATGTGTATAGGGTAAGAGTAACCCAGCCAGCACGCAAAGAGAGCTGCAAAAGGTAGGAAATGCCTCCCTACTTCCCACTGTCAGGTCCCTGGAAGGTTAATGATGCCCAACTTCATTTTCCACAGCACTATGGAACTCCTGTGACCCTGAGAGGCATTTATGAACAGTCACAGGAATGGGGACATAGCCCCACAGTCCCCAGTGCTGCTGGGCAGTAAAGAACCAACAGACACAGAGCTTATGGAACAAAGCTGCTGGATGCAGGTGACCTCTTGAGTAGAAGGAATAATGTCTAGAGATACGGGAAAACAGCACAAATCAGCACAGGTACATGTACCTGCCAGGACACAGGCAACAGAAAATTCATAGCATCATTTAAATAAAATACCAGTCTAAATGAATTTGAAAGACATCTGCCATGTGCAGGAAGCCAGAAAGCTGATTGTGTTGCAAACTGGAATCCAATCTTCCTTCTGCTTTTTGTCCTTTTACTTTTTATCCTATTTCTACCTTTTGTCCTTTTTATTCAGAGACATGATCCATCACTAAATTCTTTTACCAGATTTTGCAAACTGAGGAGTAGAACTTACCCAAGAGAGAAGGAAAAGGCATCTGAACAAAAGATACTCCCTGATCTTGCCCTGTGTGCCGTCACATAAAAAACATGAAAAAAGGCACTGTGTGCAACAGGGGCTGTGTCCTGTGTCCCATTCCAGAGCCACACAGTGGCAGAGCTCCCAGGCTTCACTTCAGCAAGTGCAAAGGGCAATTCAAGTTTTCCTACCGGTCACCAAGACTAAAATTAAATGTTTGTAAAAACAGAAACATTTAAAACTCTTTAAACAATTTAAATCAGAACAGTTTCTCTCAGAGCATGACACATTTTATGTTTAAAAAACCAAGGGAGGTGGGTTATTAAATAAGAATCTACATATCTTAAAAACAGAGGTTCTTTACATTACAGCCAGCAGTGTTGACTGTCCTAAACTATCCTATCCCCCAAGGAAGAATGTTCATAAGTTATTTCTTTGAAGTGCCTCGCAGAGGTTTTGATTGGCATCTGGTTCCTCAGTCATCACCTCCACAGCCTCCCACTCCCCTGACCTGCTGGACTTCTTGATGGCCTCTACTACACTTTGCATGTACAGACCATCTTCAAAGGAGGCTGCCATGGAGACAGGTTTGTGATCCCATGTCCGACGGTCTTCCTGGTCCTGGAAAGACTGCCGCAGTGCTTGCACCATGTACACCATTCCTTTTAGGTAAAGCAGTGGGATGTCTTTAAACCCCTGATCCAGAAGGCCCTTGTTGACAGTCAGAGAGTCTGTAAACAGTAGTTCTTCCTGGAGAGCAGTGTTTTTCTGCCCATACAAGTCCGTCCCGCGAGCTACAAGGCGACCGGCAGACCCCACAACCATGACTTCATGGATGAATGATCCAGGCATGTTGAAGTTGAGAGTCACAGTGCAACAGATGCCATCGCTCATCAGCATCTGGAAGAAGCAGAAGTCGTCGCTAGTAACATGGCGGATACCACTTATGGCTGTGTTCTGCTTCACAAAAGTCTTGAGCAAACCATGGACCTTCTCTGCTCTCTTGCTGATGAGGTGAGTCAGAAGGTCAATAATATAGGTTCCCATCGTATGCAGGCCACCTCCTCCCATCAGCTCATCACAGATCCAGTTGTACTTGTGGCTGAGCAGGCTTCCCCCATACACTCGCACGTCACATATCATCACGGTGCCCACATAGTGTTCCTCTATCAATTGCTTCATCTTCACAAAGGTGGGCAAGAAACGGAGAACATTGCCAACAATGCTCATCAGCTTAGGGTAGTACCTGGCAGCTGTCACCATTCTGAAGGCATCCACAGAGGTAGCAGCTTTCTCACAGATCACATTCTTCCCTATTCCTGTAGCACAAATGAGGGGAAAAAAAAAAATAAAATATAGCACACACAAGAGGAATACGCTGAGATGCTCCAAAGGCTGCCAAGAAGTGGTGTTGGAGTCAAGCTTTCCTCATGCAATTTCAGAGGGAACTGAAATAAGAATGCCAAGAGCACCAAGAGTCAAAGCTGCTTCCAGGATGCTCCATTTGTAGAGCTGACTAGCTCCCCCACAGAGACTCCAACTAAAGATAGGGCTTTTACATCCTGAAAGACAAATGGCATCACATGGCATCCATCAAGACACGAGTTGCGTGTGATAGCTAGAAAATTATCTGAATGCCTGTACAGCCAGAGGAAGTAAAACAACATATCCCCTGTAGGGAAGAGGTGAGTGAAAGGGAGATTTGATTTTCACTTTGTATTTCACCATCAATATGAATTTAGTATTTCAAATAGATGAATAGAAATGGGTCATAGAACATACTTAGTGGTCTGTGTACAGAGTATCAGAATTAGAAAGAATGCTTTGGAAGGTGGATTGTTTAAAAAGCATTGCTAAATGGGAAGCAACACATATCGGTCTGCACATACAGCCTTCCTACTAATGCACTTTAGCTTGTGCTCAGCCTCAATCAACCTGGGCACTCAGCAATTCATTTTTATTTAACTTTAAAGCAAAAATAAAGCAATACAAGAGCATTCCAGGTCAAGCTCCAACCAAATTCCTACATTCAACAGTCCTCCTCCCCCATCTTCACCCATGGCATGGCTTTAATCTTCCATAGACTTCCACTCTGAAAAATACATTACATTTTTCACGGTAACAAACAGGGTGCACCTACAAGTCTCTGACACTGCCTGGTGCTGTCAGACCTGAAGGTCAGTCACACCATACCAGTTTCTACCCCAAGAACTGCAGGGATCACTGCACATGGTGGTGGGCACCTCTCCAAAAGCCTTGCCTTACACAGAAGCAGACTGTGCTCCCTGCTCAGAACAGCTTTTAATGGTCTCCCTGATGAGTAGAAACCAGCACCAGTACTTACATGTGGCTCTGACAAGCAAGGGGAAGCCAGATCCCCCAGTGCAGCTCCTGGCTGCAGTGCCTAGCTCAGCTATGGGACAACTACAGCCAGAGGAAACTCAGAACCTGTATTTCTAATACAACAAGCAAAACTCAGTCAGACAAGAAGACTACAAATTTTAGTGGTCTCTTCCAAAGAAATACCCTAAATTGACATGAGTCTAGAGAAGGGCAAGGTCAAAGTCCCTGGGCACACTCTGGCTTCCCACTGGTAACCTCCTGATTGAGGGACCATTTTTGACTCCCCCATCCCCAATCCTGCTGCTGAGATGACGCACAACACTGTTGGTCTCCTCTATGCCTCAGCCCAGGTGCAGACCAGCACTCCACAAGGAGTCTGAGACAACCTCCATTATGGAGGTCCTTCATGACCAAGGGGGGCCCGCCAAGTAGCCTGCATGGTTAGAGGTCCTGCTGCCCTGTGTCTTGGTTGGATGTGCAGGTGAGTGGACACCACAGGGTAGCCATGCACAGAGGTGTCCCTGCAGCACAGTCTGGAGGGCACGAGCTGTGTGAGAGGAGTGGGATGGGCAGAGACAGTCACCGCTTCCCCTCTTCAGCTGTTGCTTTGCCTGGCTATCATAGCCACAGCTGTCCATCCAGCACTGTCCATAAACACCTGAAGTCCCTAGCCTCACCTCTCTCAACACAAGCTCTGATGTCGACTCCAGCTACTAAAGCTATTTATTTATCCCATGCAAACATGCCCATTGAACGGCAGCCCCAGTTCTTTACTCCCCTGAATAACACCAGGTACCCAAGGTTGCACCTAGGAAGATGGACAACTGGCTGCTGCTGAACCACACCAGACCTTTGACCATTGCTTTGTCCATCCTAAGATGCCAGGAGTATCTGAGGAGTCTTCCCAGATAACTGGCTGCTTCAGACGGACTTGCTTAGGGAGCCTCCTGATGGATGAATGCTCATTCCAGAACACACTCCTCCACCCCAGTTTCTGTTCGCTTGCAGTATGAAAGACTTGTCACAGAAACAGGAAGCACAATATGCAAAAGGCACTCACAGCATGCTTGTTCATCCTGTTTCGAGAACAGGAAATCTGGATTTGACCACCCAAAACAGTGATAGAGCCCTTTCTCACTCCTTCCTTCAGAATTAACATGTATGTGCTGTAATCTGTAGGGACTCCACAAAACCAGGGAGTTAAACAATCTGCTGCAAAGATATCATAAATGATACAGTCAACCAGTATAAACCAAGAGGGATGAGAATTCCCTGCAGCCATTCCAGAAGCCACCCCTTGGTGGCTGGGCTCAGTACAGGCAGCAGCATTACCTTTAGTATTCTGAAGAAATTTTACTCTGAGGACTTCTCATGTTCTGCCTCACACACAAACATCCCATATTTTACACTCTACTCCAGCTGGGAACTCCACTCTGTGCTCCCTTAATGCAAAGGTGGATGCATTTTAACTGTGGGACATGAACCACAACACAGACATTCTGTGAAATTAATTTAGTTCCTCTGAGATCAAAAGAAACAGATTTTAGGATAGCTTCTTGCTTTGCCTATTGTGGAGATAAACGATGAGATTACACTGATATGAATTTGAATTATCCTCTTAGCTTTGACCTGTTTTGTCTGGTTCATGAACTCAATTCAGTGGTAGTGCTTTGTGCCCATCATGCTGGAGCTGTACCCAGGCTTGTTTATGGGTGCCTCTCAGTAAGAAACTTAATGTAAGCAAGTTGTAACACATGGAAAAATTTGGTCTTTCTCTCATCTCTGCCGGAAGTAAAAATGTAAGCACATTTTAAAACAGGCAAAGAAAAGAAGTGTATGAATAAAAGTGTAAGAACTTTAAAAGAAACAACTTCCAAGAAAACAAAACAAAACACACAAGACCTGTACTTTGTCCAGCTCTGAGGCCTCCAACAACAGCTCTGGAGCTGCTGGAGTGAGTCGAGAGGAAGCCACAGAGATGCTGTGAGGGCTGGAGCACCTCTGCCTGGAGACAGGCTGAGAGAGCTGGGCTGGTTCAGCCTGGAGAACAGAAGACTCCTTAAGGGGAGACCTTAGAGCAGCTCCAGTGCCTGAAGGGTCTACAAGAAACCTGGAGAGGGGCTTTGGACAAGGACCTGTAGGGACAGGACAATGGGGAATGGCTTTAACCTGAGAGAGGGGAAACTGAGATGAGATCTTAGGCAGAAGTTCCTCCCTATGAGGGTGGTGAGGCCCTGGCACAGGGTGCCCAGAGAAGCTGTGGCTGCCCCATCCCTGGCAGTGTTCAAGGCCAGGTTGGAGGGGGCGTGGAGCAACCTGGTCTAGTGGGAAGTGTACCTGCCCGTGGCAGGGGGTTGGAACTGGATGAGCTTTGAGGTCCTTTCCAACCCAAAACATTCTGTGATTCTATTTAGACATCGCTGTATCAATCTGAACTTTTAAAGAAAATGTACTTGCTGTCTCTAGCCCTACCCTGATTTTGTGTTACTTCAGAACATTCAATCACAGCAAGCCATCCAACACTGGCTTAAAATATGTCATGACATATTTGGTAGCGGATCTATAAATACTATTGTGATGGACCTAGGAAGCTGACAGACAACGTAATCATCACACTGGGTCTGAGACACCTGCACCAGTTTGCAGATCAGAACATTCCACAACATCCCTCCAGTTCCCTAGCTTTTCCATCTTCCCACTTATCTGTGCTGCAGTCAAGTATACATTATCACCTCTGTACTACTGCACCAGCTTTGCCCCCATTTACCTCTCTGGATAATGTCATCTTAGAGGTTCCCAGCCATTGAAGAAAAAATTTCAATCCATTTTAGTTAATAATTCACTAGACAAGAGTCAATCTTCCCCTTTTAGCCCACTTGATCAACAACAGCTGTGAGAACTAGTGAAATACTGATTACCTTACTAGTGCTTGAAAGAACTTCTAGTACATTTAAAGAGACAAACTCCAACTTACAGGTCAAATATTCAAAATCAGAATACCTAAAATGTGAAGGACAGTACTCTAACAAGGTAAACAAACTAATCTAATAATGTAAAACAGAAAAAGAGGAAAAAAAACCCTGCCTGAAATCCCTTGCTGCATATCTAAGTGGCATTCAAATGTTTGTGCAGCAAGTTTTTTACTTCAAAAATTAACTGCTATAGAGCAAAGAGGTGAAGAACACCACACCACCCTGGATCACATGGTTTGAGATAACAGCCCTCCTAAAATTAACTCGTGTGGACCTCCTGTAAACAAAGTAAAAATATCACACTTGTTATTTACAGCTTACACACAAACCCATACCCACACTGCACCAGGTGAGAGGATATTAACACTACAAAGTCCTAGGCTGGAAAATTAAGGAATGTCAGGGTGCCCATGCAGTTGGCTCCCACTTCCCTGCTCAACCAGTCTGGGGTGTCATCTCTTGTTTCCCAGACACTTTAACCCACCCATCTTGCTGCATTGCTCCTGCTGTCCCCACCTTCTCCTTCCTCCTGCATCAGGTGGTGAAAGGATTCCTTCAGCAAGTCTGCACCCAGGACCAAACAAGCCTGCCATGGGCATGGATGTCCAAAAAGAGCTCCAGGTGGTGGCCAGGGTCACAGCACACTGGCTGAACCCCTCTGCCCCAGGCACAGCCTGGTTTTCTGTTGCAGAACATGGAAAGGTTTGAAATTAATGAAGCAGCTTAAAGTTGCCAGGGGGTGTTTTGGAGTTTTGTTTGATTTGTTCTTTTGTTGTTTTTGTGTTTTTTTTTCAAATGGGCATAAAATCATTTTACACACTCCCCCCCACCATCAACATCATCTCTGAAACAGCTCATTTTTATTAAAACCTGCCTATTATAACCCATCATAAGTTTAGTCTGAGGAAGACATGAGGTATTTTAGCCCAACTGGTTCAAGACTTGCAAACCTATAAGCAATTATAAACAGCATATTTACAAAAAACTTCTAGGTGACCTTTCTCACAGGTGGAGCTACCAATTCCACACAACACCTTCACACTGCTTTTGCACATTGGTGCAACGACAACTGTGCTGAGCTAACAGCTGGAAATTTCAATCTGCCAAGGAGCAAGGTATTTGTGGTCCAACTCCAAAGATAAAAAGGTACCTAGAGCCTTCACAGCAATTTGCCGAGTTAGTGGTGGAGGGATATTGATGCAAACCAAATCTACATCCTGGTGCAGCAAGACATCATCAGTTCGACTCGTGTAGAAGGAGATGCTCATTTCCTCTGCCAGCTGCTTGGCTTCCTCTTCAGTCTTCCCCCAGAGAGCTTCAATGGAGAAGCCTTCTGCTCTCAGCAAGGGCACCAGTACCCGGGCGGTGCTGCCAGTTCCAAACACACCCACTCCAGGGAGCATTTTCATGCCGCAGTCATTCACGCAGCAGGGTCTACACACAAGCCTTCAATAAAAAGTTCAGCTGCTCAGATGTCTGTTCCATCCACGGTTCCTGAAACAGGGAAAGTTATAAGTCAGTATCAACAAAAGGCGAATTTTGGTATCAAACACATCCAGCATCAACACTACCTTCGGGCAGCATTCAAAATTGTCAAGAACCTAATGAAAAAAAATCCAACCCAAAATCCCCCAAGCTTGCAATCCAGAGAGAAACAGCAGTAAGGAACAAGTCCGATAATCCTACTGCAGAAGAAAGCAACTTGACAAAGCCCTGACCATCTCCTGCGCTTCAGAACTCGGGACACATGTACAGAAACACACAAAAGTACACCACGACAAACTAGAGATGGTGTGGGACAAATTGGGAGCAACAGCATCAAGAGGACAGGACACCAGTGGTAAAAGCAGCACTGCTGTAGCTGGGATGATGTCAGTCTCTAAATGAGATAAAGTTTTGTGAGGTGAAGTAATATCTTTTAATAGACCGACTGTGACAGTTGGAGTGTTTTGGGCTGCATCCCCAGAGTGTGAGCAGCAGGTCAAGGGAGGGGATTCTCCCCCTCTACAGCACTCTAGGGAGACACCCCCCCCACCCCCCACTGTCCTTCCTCCAGCTCTGGGGAAACAACACAAGAGGGACCTGGACCTGCTCAAGCCAGTCCAGAGGAAGCCACGGAGATGTTTTGAGGGCTAAAGCAACTCTGCCTGGAGACAGGCTGAGAGAGCTGGGCTGGTTCAGCCTGGAGAACAGAAGACTCCTTAAGGGGAGACCTTAGAGCAGCTCCAGTGCCTGAAGGGTCTACAAGAAATCTGGAACAGAGCTTTGGACAGGGGTCTGTAGGGACAGGACAAGGGGGAATGGCTTTAACCTGACAGAGGGGAAATCAAGATGAGATCTTAGGCAGAAGTTCTTTCCTGTGAGAGTGGTGAGGCCCTGGCACAGGTTGCCCAGAGAAGCTGTGGCTGCTCCATCCCTGGCAGTGTTCAAGGCCAGCTTGGAGAGGGCTTGGAGCAATCTGGTCTAGTGGAAGGTGTCCCTGCCCATGGCAGGGGGGTGGAACTGGATGAGCTTTAAGGTCCTTTCCAACCCAAACCATTCTGTGATTTGGGCATATACATTTTTCTTCCAGACTAAATACACAAACTGAAAACAACTACTTGGAGCTTAACTATTTCATTGCTAACAGTTAAGCCCCTCCAGGGAACATCTAGAAAATAGGTCCTTGGGAAAGCCTGGATTCACTGAGCTTGTTTAGCATGGGGAGGTGAATGCTCCAAGAAAAACTCTAATACCAGTTTGTTTAAATACAGAGAAAACATTTTTAGAAAGAAAAAGGGCACTCCTCTGCAGCAATGTGGTCAGTGAAAAGTTTTACTTAACTCGGGACAGTTATAAATACCTCCTTCTGCCCATGCCACCTAAGCGCCAGGAGTGCAGGGGTTTGCACACAGTTCTTATACTCATTCCTTCCACACAAACATTTGGTGAAGTCACAGTTCTTTTGTTCTTTTAAGTATTTCCTGGTACATTAATCCTTTCAGACCCCAACTTGCCAGTAGTCTCAGAACTGCTTTTGGCCACAAATGGCTGAACTGCCTTTAGCACTCGCTTTAGCACTGACTTCAAGGAGAGATGTCGGGAGTCTCCTTGATCCATGACACCACAACAACCTACGATCTGGCTTTTGTTCTGTGCCTTTCTGAATTCTTACCTACTACACTCACTCTGACCTTTTCTGAATGATTTGGGGATTGTTTTAGAAAGAAAATGTTTTCTTACTGTTATGAACATGACACATTCAGGTATTTTTAAATGTTTATAACAAAAAAGCAAAGCCCATGTTTAAAAAGAGAAGTGGTACTAACACCAGATCAACACCTTTAGGAAAAAAAAAAACAAAAAGCAACAAGAGTCACGATCCATTTAAGATAGGGATGGTTACTCATCTCCTTATCCTAAAATACACACCCTAAGTTACACCATGTGAAAGCAAACCCTGACATAGCACCAAGAAGTACCAGCCTCAAGTCCCACTACTTACAGTGCCAATGCTCCATGTGCAATCAGTATTAGCCTAGGGGAGTCTACACTGACCAGCACAACAGAACTGCAACCCTAACTGAACTTTGGGAAGTTTTGTAGTGTAGTCAACTAAACCAGAACACAAACTGCAACACGTGTGAATATTTGTTTTGCAATACACACATAAATGTTGGGAGATGCTATAAAACACCTTATAAAATATTTACTAATTTAAATATTTACTGAACTAATTCAGCAGGGCTTTTTCCCTTATTCTGTGTAATGTTAGGTTTGTAGTGATCCCATCATTGTCTTTATAAAGATTAAAAAGTTCATTTGAATTAACTCCCTTTCATCCCACATCTAGCGGAACACTCAAAGACATCTTAAAAGGAACCTGAAAATATTTACTATTCTACGTTACACTGCAATTTACTGCCAGGAAGGATAGCCTGTATTTGAGCTTGTTTTCTGTAAATGTTGCAAGCAAAAATAAAACTGTCTGGGCAGTCAGTATAGCTGCTCAAGTCCCCACACAGCTGTGTGTGGCAGTTTACAGGCTGGAAGAAAAAAAACGCTTTCAGTGAAAAGAGCATTATCATCTTAGGCACAAGAACAATGAGGTGGTTGGTGACAGCCAGCATGGCTTCATCAAGGGCAAATCCTGCTTGATGAGTTTGGTGGCCTTCTGTGATGGGGCTACAGAAACGATGAACAGGGGTAGAGCAGTTGATGTCATCTACCTGGACTTGTGCAAAGTGTTTGTCCCACACAACATCCTTGTCTCTGAACTGGAGAGACATCAATTTGATAGGTGGACCACTAGGTGGATAAAGAACTGGCTGGATGGCCCCACGCAAAGAGTTGTGGTCAATGGCTCAATGTCCGGCTGGAGACCAGTAACGAGTGCTGTCCCTCGGGGATCGTTGTTGGGACAGATCTTGTTCAACATCTTTGTCGCTGACATGGACAGTGGGATTGAGTGTGCCCTCAGCAAGTTTGCCGATGACACCAAGCTGTGTGGCTCAGTTGATACCCTGGAGGGAAGGAATGCCATCCAGAGGGACCTTGACATGCTTGTGAGGTGGGCTGATGCCAACCTCATGAAGTTTAACCATGCCAAGTGCAAGGTCCTACACCTGGGTCGGAGCAACCCCAGGCACAGCTACAGGTTGGGCAGAGAAGAGATTCTGAGTAGCCCTGTGGAGAAGGACTTGTGGGTGTTGGCTGATGAGAAACTGAGTATCAGCCTGCTTCTGTGTGCGCTTGCAGCCCAGAAAACCAACCACATCCGGGGCTGCATCAAAAGAAGCGTGACCAGCAGGTAGAAGGAGGTGATCCTGCCCCTCTGCTCTGCTCTTGTGAGACCTCACTTGGAGTATTGTGTACAGTTCTGGTTTCCTCAACATAAAAAGGACATGGAACTGTTGGAGCAAGTCCAGAGGAGGGCCACGAGGATGATCAGGGGACTGGAGCACCTCCCGTATAAGACAGGCTGGAAAAGTTGGGGCTCTTCAGCCTGGAGAAGAGAAGGCTGCGTGGAGACCTCATAGCAGCCTTCCAGTATCTGAAAGGGGCCTATAAGGATGCTGGGGAGGGACAGTTCATTAGAGACTGTAGTGAAAGGACAAGGGGTAACAGGTTAAAATTTAAACAGGGGAAGTTTAGATTGGACATAAGGAAGAAGTTCTTCACTGTAAGGGTGGTGAAGCACTGGAATGGGTTGCCCAGGGAAATTGTGAATGCTCCATCCCTGGTGGTGTTCAAGGCTGGGTTAGATAGAGCCTAGGATGACATAGTTTAGTGTGAGGCGTCCCTGCCCATGTCAGGGTGGCTGGAACTAGATGATCTTAAGGTCCTTTCCAACCCTAACTATTCTATGATTATATGACTCTATGATCTTTGAAAAAATTCAGGCTAAGCAAGGCAGAACAGACAAGGTGAGTGAGTGCCTGCTGGCATGACTGCACAGACATGGGGTCACAGAACCTCAAACTGGTTTGGGTTGGAAGGGACCTTAAAACTCATCCAGTTCCAACCCCTGCCACAGGCAGGGACACCTTCCACTAGAGCAGGTTCCTCTAAGCCTCCGTGTCCAACTTGGCCTTGAACACTGCCAGGGATGGGGAAGTCACAGCTTCTCTGGGTAACCTGTGCCAGGGCCTCACCACCCTCATGCTCAACAATGTCAAAATTACAAAACACAACAAAAGCTTAGAAAAAGTGTATCTCTTTTAAAACACTATTAAGAGCACACTGTAGCAACAGGAGACTGCTGCTGCTCAGATCAGCTGATTTCTGTAATGCTCGCCCAGCATCAATTTTCCATTTTTCTGTTTCCCATCCAAGTGCTTTTTCAAGTTCTCACTCAAGTGGAATTCATTTTAAACTCACTTATTCCCAAAACATAACAGGCTGCTGCATCAGTATCTCTAGCAGCTATTGGCACAACCCTACAAATGCTAGTGATTTACTACCATGGAGACCAACACCTGATGATACCAGAACTTAAGGACACCAGCTCACCACCAGTACCACAACAAATCAAGAACTGGCCAAGCCAGCCTCAGCAGTGACTGCTATCAAGGCCATCGGGCTCCTGGGGGAGGAAGTAGTGGCTTGCACAGTCACAGGCTTGAGACCCCCCCCAGATGCTGCAGCCAGCAGGCTCTCCAGAGTGGCATGCTCCCTGGCCGCATCTGAGAGCCACCCATAGCCTCTTAATCCCTCTCCAGTCCTTCACCAACTGGGAAGTCCTGGTTTGTCAGGAATGGATGTAGACACTGAAGGGCAGCAAATCCACAGTCCTTGCACAGAGTGAGTCACAGAATGTATGGGGTGCCAGCAGAAATAGAGTAACTGCTGAATGAGCTGTAACTGGAAGATCAATGAGAGTCTTTGAAAAGGAGGTATATATTCATACCCCACACACACGCACACTGCAGACACACTCAGGTGCTGGCAGATGAGATATTCCAGCCCAGGCCACCCTAAAGAAGCAATCTAAAACCCCACTGTAACAGAAGGTGGCCACAACTGAGAAGAGGCAGCTGTAACACAAAGTCTACAAAGAACCAAAAGATCAGCACTGTCCCACTGCAGAAGTCCCCAGAGCACATGCATTTCTGATACTTCTATTCTAAGGGGAGATGAAAAAGCAGAAGTGGAAACAATTCAGACAAAGGTGATCAATAGCATACTACATCTTCTCCACAAGGAAGACCTAAACAAGCAACGATTCCTCGCTCTGGAAAAGCCACCAAATTTGTTATGTAAATCATGAAAAGTCTTTTATAAGCCAGTCTTTCAGAAATTAAAATTCCTGTGCATTGATATCTCTGGGGATGGAACACTGAATGAACACACTTTTGAGGACACTCCCACAGAAACACCAAAAGACAATGCTTTTATATGAAGTGAAAACAATACTCAAACAGGAATCTTGCACGTCAGGAGATAAAAATCAATCTCCTATTTAGAGAGATGAAATAATCATTGTCGGCAACTCCACTCTGAACCTAAATGTTCAAACAGAAGCACTTGGAGCTTTTTAACCTTTTATGTGGCCACAGAATGTTTCCATTCTGGCTGAATTGCATGGTGAGTTTAAAGTTCCATCCTACAGTGACAGAAAAGAGCTGCTTGACTCATATATATTCTTACACACAGCAGCAAGCATTTATATGAGCCAATGCAATAAAAAAAACTGATGATTCTTGCAGGATCCAATTCAATTCTATGTCAAAGCAGTCAGCGAATTCAGACAGCAAAAGTCTCAAGGGCTAGAGTGCCTTGAAACCATTGTGGACTATGAGAGATGGCGAAAGAATAACAGCCTATGTCCAGAAATCTGTTGGTCAGGGTAACGCTGGCTCTGCAGAAGGAGAAACAGTTCATGCTTCTCTAACTCACCCTAAAAAGTTCCACTTTGGCTCTAATGAAGGTGAGGCACGTGGAGGAGGAGCACACCAGCAACAGGGGCACTGTTTTCATCCGGTTTGTCACTACTGTTCAGTTTGCAAAGAAAGCAAAGACATGCAACAAGGGCTGTACAAGTAATAAAGTTGTTACTGGTGACATCCACATGGATCTTAAGGTTGCATAAGAACCTTTGACAAAATCTATACAGGAACCACTCAGACTTCACTCTGCAGCAGCAGTTGTGATGTAATGTTAATGCACTGCATACACCTCTGCAAAAACAGATGCTGCCTCAGTTCTGCAAGGACCCCAGCAGAGGTGTCACAAATGCTGGCAGAGTCTGCAAGCATCACTCTGGAAGCCAGCAAGGTCCCTGCAGGAATCCAGGTAGGGCACTTCATTACACTGCCCCGAGAAGCTGGAGGTCACCCGCATAACACGGGGTCATTATTTTCCTATGACACCGTCCATCCAGCCTCCTGGCGTACGGACACCTGAAACTCCATGTGGAACAGTTCACACACTGATGTCAGAAAGACGTTTTCTTTACTAAACATGCTTTTAATTCATTGCAGACTGGTTGTGTGATAACCCACGAGTCCAAAGCCCGGGGCCACGCTCACCCCCCAGCCAAGGACGGCACAGCACTCGTCCTTCCTGCTCCAGATGTACAACAGCAAAGGCCCCGTTATTGTCATGCCGCTTCCCGCAGATAACGCCCGAGGTCAAAGGCGGTGGTGAGGGCAGTGCCAGAGACAGAAGGGCTGGCAAATCGCGAAAACCAAAGCAGTCCTCACGCTACCACCGTACTGCGGCGCTCGGGGCACGGCCACGACAGCCCCAGGAGTGCTCATGGCATGGCCCACCATGACCGGGGTTGAGGTGCTTGGGCGGATCCTTATGCTGGGGTTCCCTTACGCGGCTGGACCGGGCAGGCCTCCACCTGGGGAACCCCTCCCTTCACCCAGGGCACCGGCACACACGGAAGAAGTCCCGCCGGGCTCCTCCTCGGCCGCGCCCGGCCCGCGACCCCCACAGCCAAGCAGCCCCCCAGCTGCCCTTACCTGCGGTCGGCCAGCACTGGGGGTTGCCGGCACCACCTGGCCTGGCCTCGGCTCACCTCGGCCCCGCGCATCCTCCCGCCGGGCACGCTCCCGCGGCGGCAGCCCCTCGCTCCGGGCCCGCGCAGGCACCATGACCCCACCCCTTCGCCGGGCAGCGGCGCCGAAAATGGCGGCGCCCAGGGAGGCTTCGCCCGCCTCGTGTAGAGCTGCCTATCAGTGGGGCTTACAGGCGCAGGGGGCGGGCCTTTGCCGGACGGACAGCACCAGAAGCCAATAGAGGACCGGTATGGACTTTTCTCATCTCCTCGGGGAGCTTCCTCCGAGCAGCCTCTAGGAGGCGTGCACATCCGCTTTCCTGCACTGCGCCGTCGGCTCCTAGGAGGCTGGCACAGCAGGCCGGGAGGAAGAGCTCCTGTCCGGGCAAGAGGTGGATGCTTCCCAGCACGTCTGTCATTTCCCTGGTTCACTGCAGAGGAGCAGAGGGCAGGGACTGCTGACAAGGGCCTGTAGAGGCAGGACAAGGGGGAATGGCTTTAACCTGACAGAGGGGAGACTGAGATGAGCTCTTAGGCAGAAGTTCTTCCCTGTGAGGGTGCTGAGGCCCTGGCACAGGGTGCCCAGAGAAGCTGTGGCTGCCCCATCCCTGGCAGTGTTCAAGGCCCGGCTCCCACAGCAACGTTCGATAATGTTCTCTGCAAAGGAGAAAGGAGAGCAGGAAATTACAGTGCTGTTAATGACACGGGATGACCCGTATTGGCAGGCAGGTGCAGCATGCATTATGCAATATGTCACAGAATCACAGCCTGGTTGGCGTTGGAAGGGACCTCAAAGCTCATCCAGTCCCCACCCCCTGCCACGGGCAGGGACACCTTCCATTAGACCAGGTTCCTCTAAGCCCCGTCCAACCTGACCCTGGCCACTGCCAGGAATGAGGCAGCCACAGCTAGAAACAGATGCTTCTAAGTCTGATGACCGCAAAGGGGGCCAGCTTTACATGGAGGAAGTGGATATTCCTTAGCACAAACCCAGCCTTCCATATCTGAGGTGTTTTTTGACAGGACTTGCTTGCCAGCTTTCAGCCACAATCGATGTGTCCGTAGGGTTAGATCTCATCTTAGAGTGTCTGCTCCTGACAGGCTTGAGCAGCACTGCTGGGCCTTTATTACTTTAATAATAATACCACCTGAAACAATGGAGAAAAGCAGAACAAGAGTGTTGTGGAGATGCAAAAGGGTTCAACTCATCTTCACCAGCATGAACAAAGAACATACAGGAACGTATATATGCAGGATGGAGAACATGAGGTACATGTTCAAAAAGAGACATTCCAAATGGAACAAAAGTGGTAAGAGACATAAGCCCACCAAAACCCACGGGAGAGGAGAGAAAGGACTTAGGAATGGGTGGAGGACTGCTGAGAAGGTGTGATATGACTTCAGCCGAGAGGTTCAGAAGTGATTTTGAAGTACCGCAAAGTGAGCACTAGAGAATGAGATGAAGCCAGAGAGACTGCAGGGGTCTATTACATTTTCTTTGCTTCTCTAGGGCTGACCATTTCCCCACAGCTAGCCCACCAGTCCACCTCATGCTCCATGAACTGGTAGAGTCTGAGGCCTTGGTGGCCCATCCTGCTCAGGTGCCAAAAGACCCTTCTGCCTAGATTGCCAGAGGAAGAGGAGGTGTCTTCCCCCAGTGTTCCCACTTTCAATCCTTTCTGAGACAGAGAAATGCTTGTGCACTGCACAGAGTTGGGTAGCACTAATGAATGTGTAGCATTTCGACATTCACTGTTGAATGTTTAGTAGCTGTATTTGGATAAGAGCATCATCTGGTGGAAAAAAACAGTTACTTCATCGTGTCTTTCGTGACTGGCACATGTCAGTGGGATATGACCCATGCAAGGTCATAAATATGATTTATATTTCACTTCTCACATACACTTTTGTTTCCTCTAGGGACTGTCAGCCAGCCAGAAGAGTTAGTTATCACCATGGAGTGCAGGTTCAAGATTGGAGCAGGTAATCTCATAGGACATATGAATTGGTACAAACCTGAAGGCTTGGAGGGGTGGAATCAAACCAACACCACTTTGGGAGGCATCTGTACCTATCTCACCAGCGCTGGTGTGCATGCCACCAGCATGGTGATCTGTGGTTGTAGGGTCTTCATCATGAGAGTAAACTTGACAGACACTGGAAGTACCACACAAGGGACAGTGAGTAGCACTGCTTCCGTTTTCTTGGGGTTATGAGCAGGTAGAGGAGGGTGCTACAACAAGCACCATTTCCTGCAAAAGCATCCCAGACACTGGAGGAGCTGATCCAGCACAGCCCTTCTGGCAGATGCATCCTGCCAGGGAGCTGTGTGGCCATTGTGTACTTGGACCTTCCATGCTTTCCATCCGCAGCACATACAGCTGAATGCTGAGCTGCTGGAGCTGCAGTGGCAGGAGCAGGACAGTCGGGAATGTGGGTCCAGCATCCTGCCCCAGAGCAGAGTGGGGAGCAGAGTATCCTCTGCCTCCAGGCAGTCTCTCACTTGTGTTTCTGTCTTCTAGGCTGTGGCCCTCATGCACCTCAGACCAGTGTCACCGAGAAGAAGATCTGGACAGGTGAGTCCCCACAGCCACATGACTGTAAGTTGGGGGACAGGAGAGGTCCTAAGGGAGAAAGAGGAGCAGCAAGGGAGGGAAACGCATCCTGATGTTTTCCCATGAGTGGGTGGGAGCTGTTGGCAAACTGGGATAGGCACCAGTGAATCAGAGGCAGTGATGCTGAGAAGAGGCTCTGATGCTCTGACCACAACCCTGGCTAAGTTTGGATGAGTTCAGAAGAGTTTCTGGAGACCGTTTTCCAAGGTTTTGTCAGCACTCTGGGGCTGTCGGGGTTGTAAGTGGTTTGGAGTCTGGAAGCCCAAGTTTGGAAAAGAACTGCACTCCCGAAAGAGGCAATGGCAGCATGCAGAGGGCAGCATCCCTGTGTGGTGGGATGGGGGCTCACAGTGCCTCTGTGATGGTTGTGTGTGCAGCACTCAGCTCCCTCCTGTGAATCATCTTTGGTTTGTGGTCAGGTGCTTCTTTACATGCTTATAGTTGGCCTGCTGCTGTGGTGGTGCAGAAGGAATAGGAAAGGCAAGGCAGAGGCCACGGGGAGCCTCTGTCTCCAGTGGGAGCCAGTTGGCACCTTCTCCTCACTGGCTGTCCTGGACAACCAGCTTGAGAGATGTCCATCTTTGATATCCTACTGCTCCTGTTTACTTAGTGTTCCCTGCATGAGTTTGTCCTCCTGAAGAAGCTGTCCTGGCCTGGGGAGAAGGTTCACCCCCTTCCCTCTGGCCAGCTGCTGGTGAGAGCCTGGTTATGGCACAAGCCATGGTGCAAATGAAATCGGTCTTTCACATCACCCCATCACATTTCCAGAAGTGTCCGTCTTGGAGCTCTTCTCCAGCCCCTCCAATGCCTTTAAATCCTTGCCAACCCCTCCTGCCCCTTGGTCATTTCAGAGCCAGCCAGCTGCAGAGCCCTGTCCTCCCCTGCAACAACAGCCCCCATCCTCCCCTGCAACAACAGCAGGACCAGTGCATATATTTTCTTCATTTCAAATAGTGATCATTAGCATTATTTTAACTACTATTTAAACTATGTTTCCTTCTTCAGGAAAGCTCATAAGCAGGTAAGTGGTGGAGGGGAATCAGCTCAGCACAGTAAGCCAGGGAGGGCTTTGCATGTATCATTTCCTTCTCTGTGTAAAAAAATCCAAACCACTGGCTGTTGAATACCTATGCAAAGGATTTCAGAGTAAAATCAGCTTTGGTTTCTGAAAGCATGGTCCTAGACATTTTTTAATTCCTGTTAAATGGGAGCTTACAAGCTTCAAAATAGATGGCAGCTCTGAGCAAGCTGGATAACGCTTGGGCAGTGCAAATAGTTGCGCTAGTGAAAAAATACTAGCAGGGGAGATGCAGAAGGGAAACCCAGGACTCTGCTTAGTGCTCTGTCCCCTACAAGCAACCCTGGTGACAGCCATGATGACCCGACCTGCGGCAACCTGAAGTTTGAAAAGAAGGGGACAAAACCTCCCTCTTCTGACATCAACATCATTTACACTGAGGTCAAACCATCATAATAATAGCAGAGTGGTGGGGATGTCAGCACTGCCAGTGCAGGGCTGGATGTGTCCCACAAGGAAGATGGTATTTGAGGGAGCAGCTCATGACAAAGGGTGGGATGTGAGGGTCAAAGTGCTGAACTGAGGAGGCTCAAAGAGGCATCAAAGTTGTGCCCCAGGAATGCAGAGCAGAAGCAGGCTCCACTAAACTACAGGACATCCTCACCAGCCTCCTTCTGGGTACCTACAACCCTGGAGGAGGATGATCTCTAGGAGTGCCCCAGTTTAGAAAGGGAAGGCTTAAGTTAAATGGGCTGAAGGAGCTGAAGGAGGAACTGGGGCTGGAAGGAGATGTGCCACATCTCTTGGCTACAGCAAGAAAAAAAGATGGACGATCTCCGTAACATCTCACAGCCCATCACTCCCTGGGGGCTGTTTCCAACCTATGTGGCTGGAGGTCCATGGGATTTGGCTTAGAGCAGACACCACTCAGCCGTGGCTCTCATTCCATCCTTGTGGCATGCAGACCATGTTGCTCTTGGGTGGGACATGAGGGCAGCCATACTACACCCTCCTGACATGGTGACAGCAAAGCATCAGCAGTGGGGCTGCTGGCCATCTTCTAATCAACAACCAGCTGAACATGAGCAGCTTGTGCCCAGGCAGCCAAGAAAGCCAATGGCATTCTGGCCTGTATTTGCACCAGCGTGACCAGCAGTGCCAGGGCAGTGATCGTCCTCCTGTACTCAGCAATTGTGACGCCACACATCAAATCCTGTGTTTCGTTCTGGGCCCCTCACTACAAGGGAGACATTGAGGGGTTGGAGCGGGTCCAGAGAAGGGCAATGGAGCTGGTGAAGGGCCTGGAGCACAGGTGTGATGGGGAATGGCTGAGGGAACTGGGGGTTTTAGTCTGGAGAAGAGAAGGCTCAGGAGGGACCTTGTCGCTCTCTACAACTGCCTGACAGGAGGATGGAGCCAGGAGGTGGCTGGTCTCTGCTCCCAAGGAACAAGGGACAGGACAAGAGGAAGCAGCCTCAAGCTGCACCAGGGCAAGTTTAGACTGGATATTAGAGACA